CAGTCTTCGTATGGGTCAGGGTCTGATGATTCAACCGATTCTGCCCATAGCGGGTGTATAGCCACTTGTACTATAATACAATGGGAGGCGAGGAATGCTTTCAACGATGGAAGAGCTGCAGCAATTGGAAACCCAAACAATAACCAAAACCCAAACACGACACTCTACAACAATCCGCTTTCTATTCTATTGACCAACTTCAACGAGGGTTGGAACGATGGGGTCGAAACGGCCGGTCCTCTCGATACTGTTGGGTTTGATGATGTTGTGAGCTTCGTTCGGGCTGCTGCTTACGATACTGCTTTGATGTTCGATTCACTTGGTGACAATTCACCGAAACATCTACCTACGTCCGAGGCAGTTGCATTGTTCCGTGTATGGAGAGTAGCAGGTTTCTACGTGGGGAGGTAATAATGTGTTATAATCGGTTTCTTCAAATTAACGAGAATGTTATTTATCTCCCTGACTTGTCTCTCTTTTTTTCATAGATACCTACTGGAACAATATCGTTATGATAAGCAGTCGGAGCTTCTTGATTTCACGCATTTCTTCCTACGTCGAAGGTTCTGAGATATTCCACTACTCTTCAGGGATTCAACAACTCAAATTTGACCAAAAACAAAGATTCGAGACTTAACTTGCAACGCCAACAATGCTTCTAGTTGTTACTGTTCATACTTTAGTGGTTTCAAATAAGTACATACTCTGTTGGTGAATCTGCTAAATCCTTTGGTGGCTTAAAATTCGGTCTAGTTAGTAATAAAAAGTAGTGTGGCAATGATATATAGTGATTTACAAACCTTAGACTACATATATTCCCAGTTTGTGTAAATATCCTTTTCCCAACTCGATTGTTTAGAACTTAAATCAAATTCAAAAGAATATTATCACCATTTCGGTTAACTCATTTCCAAATTCAGAGTTAAAAGAATATTTGTTCATCTTTTTCTTCTTTTCAGGTTGTTTCGCGTGTAAAAGGGGTTCTCACATAGTAATTCTCACCTAGTAATAATAATTAGTAATCTAACAAAAATTAACATATGTGATCGTTTAACTCTATCCATTTAGTGTAGATTAAATGGTTAGA